ACCTGTTTCTCTGACGTTACGCCTTGCTCCCTTCCTAGTGCCCTCGGGCACCTGAGGCCAACGATTATACGGTCTCAAGCGGAAATAGTTAACCATACATCCGTTAATTACGGTAATTTCACCATAAAACTATAGTTGTGGAGATTAGCGTATCGCCGATGGAGGGATATGCCACGAAAACATCTCCAATACTACGTCACGAGCTTGGCAATTACGACGGACAGGCTTGATTGTGATTTTGTTTTTCAGATATTTATTGAACTTTAAAGATTGGAATTTTATAATAAACTCGGTATGCTTCCAAGGCAGCTGAGAATGAGAATCGAGGGCACATTAATATTATTGTTGTCATCGTCACCATCTTTGTAAATTATTATTATTATTATTACTGATGTTGTTCCTGAGTCACTCACTCACTCACAAAGGTGTCGCTTTCATGCATTGAAATGGCATTGCATGATTGTTATAGGGTTTTAATGCTATTGATTAAGTTGTTCTGAATGGTCAAATGTTGTTACTATCGATGTCATATGATGTTGTTTTCCCGTAAAGATCCGGGTAAGAATTGATCTTCAGTAACCCATGCTTGTCGTAAGAGGCGACTAACGGGATCGGGTGGTCAGGCTCGCTGACTGGGTTGACACATGTCATCGGTTCCCAATTGCGCAGATCGATGTTCATGCTGTTGATCCCTGGATTGTCTGGTCCAGACTCGATTGTTTACAGACCGCCGCCATATAGCTGGAATATTGCTGAGTGCGGCGTAACACTAAACTCACTCACTGTTTTCCCGACACAATGAGGTTGTTACATATGTAGTATTAATATGGCATGGATGGGGATGTTCTGACACCAAATGCGTTGTTTCTGTTGACGTGACATGACACCGTTATGACGTCACCGTGAGATGTTATAGGGTGTTCATGCTACAGTCGAGGGTGTCCTGAGAGCCAGAACGTTATTGCTGTTGACGTGACATGGCAACCAGTGGATTCCGTTTCGTCGGAACATCGGGGCGATACCTTAACGGTGATGTTGTGTATTATATTTAGCGGGTGTTCATAAAACCCATCGTGGTTTAAGCTATTGACCAAAGGATTGGCTTGTCACGCCCACATCCGGGTTTAAGTCCCTAAATGGGTACAATGTATGGAGCTATTCCTAGTGTCACCGCAGGGAGTGGTCGATGGAAAACTTGACTAACCCTCAAAGCATTTCTGTTTTTATATGACAAACAAATTAATACTTACACATTGTTTTGTTAATGAATATTGATATACGTCACTGGGATACGATGGAACGCATCAACGAATGTCGACGAGACTGACCATCTGATCCTGTTAGTCGCCTCTATGACCGGTATGGTGTACTGAAGACCAATTCCAACCTCGATCTTCAGGGGTCGCTAGAAAGTACCACAGAACATTTCAAAACCACATATTTTGTCAGCAAAAGGTTAAGGATTACAATTAAATCTATACAAATTTATAGAACCTCTTGCGTGTCATTTACGTAAGAACGAGTGAGTGAGTATGGTTTTACGCCGCTATCAGCCATATTCCAGCAATATCATGCGGGGGACACCAGAAATGGGCTTCACACATTGTACCCATGTTGGGAATCGAACCGGGTCTTCGGCGTGACGAGCGAACGCTTTAACCACTAGGCTACCCCACTGCCCCCATTTACGCAAGAGGTGACGTACACCACTGCAAACTTGGAGTCTCCATTTTGAAATGCGCAATTTCTTCGGACAGTCTGACACATGACTACATTACACTTGTGCTCGACATTACGTACGTGTTTTCCGGCGACCTTGATCTCTTTGTATCGGTGTTGCATTGTGTTTTATACAGGATGCCGGTGTAGGATGTGATGTGGGTGTCTTTACAAAGGGTGATGGCACAAGATGGGGAGGAAACCATTGTGTGGGAAAAACACATTTCAAGTGGTTGGTTACAATGCTGCAACTTAGGTGTACGTGCGATAGCAAATGTTCAGTTATTGTATATATTGTAGATGCAGAAGTGACGGTATATGTGTTGTGAACTGACGGACAATAGAAAATGGTAAAATACACATTTGAAAATCGAATTTTGGCAACAAATTACAAATGTTGTTACATTTCTGGGATGAAAACAGTCGAGGTAACGTCAAATATCCCAAGTATCATATAAACTAAACCCGAACACCAGTTCTTGTGGTTTCTTGTGTCAGGCAGTGAGTGAGTTTAGTTTTACGCCGCTTTTAGCAATATTCCAGCAATATCACGGCGGGGGACAGCAGAAATTGGCTTCACACAATGTACCCATGTGGGGAATCGAACCCGGGTCTTCAGCGTGACGAGCGAACGCTTTAACCACCAGGCTACCCCACTGCCCTTGTTCCTGGCAGTAAAGATGTAGAAAGGATACTGTTTGTATGTCAGACGCTGATATACACGTTTTCAGTTTTGGTCTGTGTTTATCATGTCCCGAAAATATATTCTGATACATATTAAATATCAGTTTCTTCCAATGTCATTCTGTGATGTCTTTGTGTGTGGTTAAAAGGTTCGCTCGTCACGCCGAAGACCCGGGTTCGATTCCCCATTTCTAGTGTCACCCGCCGTGGTATTGCTTGAATATTGCTAAAGGCGGCATAAACCATATACTCACTCACTCACTGAGGCCTGGATCTGTAAATGCTGAACCGAAATGCAAACTGAATATGGACGTTTGACGGCAATGTCAAACATATTTGATCAGCTTCGTAGCTGCAATAGCATTGTTGTATTATATTGTGAATATGTATGTATTTATATGCATGTTGTCGGGTCGCACTGGCTTCTTGATAAAGTCATTTTATTTTAATTAGTTTTGATAATCATTCAGTAAATTTTAACGAGACAGTGTTTTAAATTAACTCAGAATTTTATAGCACTGTAGTGTGTTTAGATCAAACGTGAATATATTGTCTCGTTTTAGCTCATACGTTGATAGCAAGGGTTGTGTACACCTTTCCCGGCATGAACAGCATTTACAGACAGAAATAACAAACATATTTCATCACCACCTCGGCTTTGTTCGTTCAAGATGGCACAATGACATCAACAACGCTTGTAAGTGACACATGAAATGAAACACATCCATTACACTACTCGCCGAGCTTGGGTCACGAAGCATTACGTCATTCAGATGCTCTTAAAGCAATGTGTTTACACGGTGACTGGCCACGCTGACCATTGTGTGTGCACCAGCGTGGAAATCGTGTCGTACGACTTGACAATAAACAAAGACAGATCACTCAACTCGGCGATCGGGGATTCGATTCACTGGAACGATTTAACCAAGGAAATTTCCGACAAGCAACGGAATTGTTCACAACAAATGTCAATTCTGCGCAATACAAAAAAACCCAGAAAACTCTCTCTTTTCGAAGACACTTCAAATGAAAGTCATTTTCTGTATCACTATCAGGTACCCAAATTCAGTAAATAGCCTTAGTTAAGCATGAACGTAGAATATTTTTCACATTTAATTTGCGTTATCGGGGACGGACAAAATCCCAACCAGACAAAATCCGAATAAATTGTAAGTCATTTTTCTCACTGTTGAGATTTTGTCCGCAGGTGCAGACATTTTGTCAGGGTGGGTTTTTGTCCTACATTATCGCGTTATCGCGTCCCCCATGAAGGAATAATGTGTAAAATGTCGCTTCTTCATGAACTTACCATTTGAGATTAACTTTATACCCAGTGTTCGACATATCCTAATTCGTTGTAGCCTACATAGAGTTATCTTTGACGGACAATTGACGGGAATGTAGAGATGCGGTGGTTGTGGAACATCTTACTCATTTTCATCATCAAGGTACCCGTGAAGGTCCGGGTTAGAATATTTATCTTCAGTAACCCATGCTTGTCGTAAGAGGCGATTAACGGAATCGGGAGGTCAGGCTCGCTGACTTGGTTGACACATGTCATCGGTTCCCAATTGCGCAGATCGATTCTAATGCTGTTGATCACTGGATTGTCTGGTCCAGACTCGATTATTTACAGACCGCCGGCATAAAGCTGGAATATTGCTGAGTGAGGTGTATAACTAAACTCACTCACTCGTCATCAAGGTTTGTGTTACACTAAACGTAAACATGGGATTTCATGTCTGTGAAAAGATGGATTTCAGGGAGATCCCTCTTTATTCCAAATATGTTTTAAATGAATTGATCATGTCAGATATTAAAGTTTTATTATTGGCTGTCTCAATGCACGCGTTGTGGACGACAGAAACTGTTTGTTTCGCACCTCGGATAAAGAACAATGCAGTAAAGAAACCATATTTCGAAAGACGCCGTTGCCGCACCATAGTGGGGCGCGACAACAACGACCGTACGCAACGACCGTAACGTAAGTCGACGTTCCCGTAGTGCAAGGCAGGTGTAATGTATTAAATCTCGAAGATTTAGCCACCACTGACGTATACATTTCTCATCCGCCCCCAATCAACGTCAACATGCTAAATGCATTCCGAAAAACATATTTCAAACGGTCATGAAATCACAATAAAACCGACTGCATAACGTTCGTATTATATTCCGTTGCCAGGCCACGACGCCCCAGCGCTGCGAGGACAGAAACCAGCAAATTAAAGAATCCATGGTTCTTAATAAACACACGTCCAGCATTGTAATCACGGCGACTTGGAATTCTCGTTTCACATTCGATCCTCACGCACCCGATTACACTGCACGCTTGCCCTACCCCAAGTAAATAAGCCCGCCCTGTTTTAATTGTCGCGTTTTACAATTTCCCGCTTTGAAAGACCAAACATTCAAACGACACGAGCAGTAACTCGGGCCTGCTGTCGCTATGCACGCACGCTCACAAAAAGGGTCCTTGCTCCAGCGCTGAATTACGGCGGGGAAGGGAGATAACAGAGGGGTCAAATTTCACCGCCTCTCATTCATGGTACACACGAGTCGTGCGCGCCGAAGGTTTTCGCTTATCGACAATCTCAATGTATGAACTTTACCCGTTCGGAATTACGACTGGCGTGGCACAGCACACATAAATCCGACAATTGTGAGGGTTGCTCTCAAAGCCTGGGTGGGTCTTCCACGTTGGTCGCTCTATTGATTCGTTGGGCTGGCCAGCATAGCAAATCGCCCCAAAGGAGCTGACGGAGTATTGGTAGGGTTAGGGAAAAACGCGTTCTGATCAATTCAATTCCAGGAGCTCAATCTTCCGACTGCCGGAGCGTGAATTCATTCTCATTTTGGTAGTTTTTTGTCTCTTGGTTAATCACCGCACATCTCAGTAAGGCGACCCCGGTAGACCATGTAATCGTCAAGCGACTGCCCCGTGAAGCGTGACAGCTCGGTGAGTAGCCCAAGGCGTTTCATACTATTCACTACCACAGCGTGCCGCTCGCTTGAGAGCGAGCTTACGGCGGAGCCAGTGGGAGCGTAGCAGCGACTCGTAGCAGATGTGTCAAAAGCCTCTACGGCGATAGTAAACCAGTAAATGATAGATGTGCCGGCCGCTCTGGCGGACTGAGGGTTGCGCAAGCGGTGATAAGTGGGGCGACGGCGGTGAGCGGTGGCGAAGGGGCGGAGCTTGAGTGGGAAGCGGAGAGAGTAGCAGGTCGAACGATAGCCACGGATTCACTTTACGTTTACGGGGGATGGGGGAATGTGAGGCGCACGAGCAATCTGCGACTACGAAGACAGACCACCCACCAAATGATCTAACAGACCCACGGACAGACATGATACAAAACGGTCCCATCGCGGAAATGGCTGTGGATAGCCCTACTACTAAAACTACGAAAACTTGTAAGGATTTGAAATCGACGAGTGTCAAAGTGAAATCTACAACACCCAGTGTGAAATCGACATCGGTTCAGGAGAACTTAGCATCCAACCCAGCTTCCCTTCTCGCCGCGATTGGCGATTCCGAGGAGTATGTGAAACCGATTGTTAAAGACGGTGAAATTATTTTGGAAGTTGAGTGTGGCCAAAATAAGGCGTATTTGTACTTATCGAAACTTTGCCAAGGAAGCAAGGGCCCGTGCATATATTTCCAAACTTCGTGGTTAACACCCAATGAGTTTCAGTTCGTCAGTGGACGAGAGACCGCTAAAGACTGGAAGAGATCTATTCGCCACCATGGAAAGAGTTTGAAGCTTCTGTTGACAAAAGGCATCTTGTCTGTTCATCCGACTGTATGTGATTGTGAGGGATGTCGCCACGGGTCCAGTACGCCGGTAAGTTGGTTAGAACGTCATGCCATAACACGCTACACCTCTGTCAAGTACTGAACAACGGTACCATGTGTATGTACTGATGTAAACAGACACGTGCTCTCTCTCTCTCTCTCTCTCTCTCTCTCTCTCTCTCTCTCTCTCTCTCTCTCTCTCTCTCTCTCTCTCTCTCTCTCTCTCTCTCTCTCTCTCTCTCTCTCTCTCTCTCTCTCTCTCTCTCTCTCTCTCTCTCTCTCTCTCTCTCTCCAATCACACATTTTCCCGTGAATGTTCACAAGTGATATTAGTTATGTTTTATTACAACCAAGGTTGTCACCTGTACGTTAAAACCACACGCCAATATGTGCCAGTTTAAGTCAAAGTCCCCTCTGGGTATTTAGACTTCATGCTATCTGCCGTGGATGAAATTTGTGGGCGTGACATCCCGTTGTATTTATATCTTTATTATGTCGATGTCAAATGCAGGGAACTAGTTAAACATTTCATTAAATTGAATGTTGAAAATTTCAATGTTACCACCTGTGTTGAAATTAACGAATGCCAGAGTATACATTCAATTACAGTGAGATATATCCAAGTGTTTATTTCACTTGTCGATTTTTCTCGCCGCGTTCTCTAAATCCCAAATCCGATACTGTAAAGCTTCCCGAATCAACACAGCACTACCGTGCGTGAGGGGGAGTGGAATTATCCCCAGCTCAAACCCCGAGAAACTTTGTCCCCAAGTCGTGGCAACAGCCTATGCTCTCTTCCCATTGTGTGCGAATTACAAAGACTCAGTGTTTAAGGTGTGAATGATTTGAATACTCCGCGCTCCGCCGACAGGCTAGTGATTCTAACTAGCTAAAAGCCTTATTTACGGGAGACCCTCCTAAAGATCATTGTCAGAGCGGTCCAAAGTTTACATTGAGCTATGTCCATACCGCGGACAATAGGCCCACCAGTTTTGACGCGAGTTTACAATTGCCGTTCAATCATTTGGCGACGCGAATGTTGACGGAGGCTTGAACAAGCGTGCACGGAGCGAGCTGAAATCGCGGCTGTGTTCTGATTGACAGGGTATCGGGAGAATGGACAAGCGTCACTCATTTCAGCGTGGCGAGTTCTAAGCGAGCTGTGGAGAGTAGAAATTATCTACAGATACAATTGTCCTTGATGGTATTATAGATACGACAATGACATCGATGTTGATATGTATCACCCACGCATAATCGACGCTCACGTCCCCGTGTTTATACTCACGCCGAAACCAGCACATCGTTGCTGTGAAATTGACACGAGTGAACTATTTCGATCTGAATTTGGTGTGAATGATGAAATATGTTCGTGTTTAAACGACGGATACCAACATTTACACAACAGGGTAGACTTAAGGGTTTCATTATTCACTGAGAAACAGGTACCCTTCTGTTTGCCATTTTTTATAATTATCTGGATAATTATTTGTTTCAAAATATCTCTCTACACGCATCGTAAAACTGTTCGGTAAACATAATTACAGTGTCAACGTAGTAATTTGGTAGCCGCTGTAGGATATGTTCGCCACCCAGAAAGAGAGAAAAAGGCTAACCCTAACGTAGCAATGAGTATTTGAGGAAATTATTATTGGCAAACATGGTAAAATAGTTACAAAATAAGGTGGCGAACATATTCTATGATCGCACCTTTATTTGTGCAAAGTAACAATCATCAGTTCAACCCAAAGTAGCGTTTCCAGAAGGCACACATGTGAAACCTCAGAACCACCGCATCCCACACACTTCCACAACTTGTCATTGATGGTTAGTTATTTCTTCCTGGTAGTACTCATCGCGTAAGGAAAAATGCGACCTGGCGTCGGAAACAAGATTGATTTGAGCGTAAAATGGTCCTGGCACATTGCCGAGGCAGAATGATGTCGCCGTATCGGGGCACACGTGTTTGCGCCGTAAATTGTCGTCGGAGAGGGCGTTTTTGTCTTGAATGTGCCGGCAAGTTGCGTTCGTGACAGAAAGCGTCGGTTTGACCCTTGACGTGACAATACGTCGTACGTTTAACGTAATGTAGAGCACGAATGGTTGTATATTGTGCGGCACAGACTCTCGGTCGTGGGGGGGTTTATAGCGAGTTATCGAGTTTCACTGCTAGGTTCAGATTCGTGTTGTTCAGTGCAACTTGTGATTTGCGTGCGACTTAAGTGGTATTTTGTTACCTCAACACCCAGAATTAATATTCGATCGTGTTGACTTTTTCCATAAATTTTCAATTTGAGACTGGCGAAGAACTGTAAGAAATGAGCTTTTACTAACCGGTTGTCGTGAACTCATCAAACGAATTGTCATATAAAGGGATGTTTGTTCCTATTAAAACCTTATTTATTGTACAGTTTGAAATACTAACCCCTGAACGCACCCAGGAACCCTTCTACAGAAGCACGGTAAATGTGCTACGCACCAAACATATCCACACTACAGAATTGTCATATATCACAACAAGATTAAAAACCATTTTCTGAGCATTTGTTACACATATGTTTAACTTATGTTAAATTTGATAGACAAAAGTTCAGCTCATCTTTAACGTAAATGTTGTTAAATCTACAACGCCGATTTAATACATATAGCAGCATTGCGATGTCACATCAAACGCTAAACGAAATATTTACACTAAACCCTTCACCCCCGTTATTACACGCCACAAACGACATCTTAAGTCGCTAAGCCCCTAAAACCAATAAACCTGCCGATATCCCTTAAACCAATGACAAGACAAACGCTAGTCAGTACCCGCGGAAGACTTTACTATCTCCACAATCCTTTGTTTGTGTTACGACATAATATCCCCCTCCCACCCCAATAAGGAAGCGAAAAATGCCCAGAGGAAAATGCCGGTTATTTCGACCGTGCTTATCAGATGCAGCCGATAAAAATCGCGACCCCCAGCGTTCCTCGTGCCGCCCCCAGCCGTAACCTCAAGCGAGAAAGGTCCGAGAGTTTCTAATAGTTTTACAGCCGGCAAATGATCGGGGGATATTATTTTTCAGCTATTACGTTTCTCGTTAGTATAATGCCCTAGTATTAGGTCACTTCCACGTCTGCCTAAGATAATTACTGCTATTTCACGCTTCCTCGTGCCCAGCTGTTTGGCTGAGATTGTGTTCGGACCTGCATAATGTATTAAGTCGCGGTCGTAAAAGTTTAAATTACTCCCATACAGGTTTAAGGCCATGAAATCGTATTTTCTTGCCGCAGAAACGTATTTTCCAGATTTGTTACACAGAGGCAGCCTTCGATTTCCCGTAGTAGTTTCGACTTGAAATGACTACTTTCGTCTGTGTCGAGAACGCTTATTGTGCCTGTGTAATTTTGAAAGTAATAAATTCAAAATTCAGAATAAACCTGACTTCTATTCAAATGATGCTAAGTTTCATATGAAACATTTGTATGATAGTCTAGTTTAGTAGTAATGCGGACTGTTGGTGTGCTGCTGCAGATGCAGATACGTTCTCCAGTTAACCTGTCAGACAATATTTTTGTTAATATTTATTTTTATTTTATAATTCTATCTTAATTAATTGTGACTTTATAGACCCAACGCATCGATGTACCAATTGTAAAGCATTCAGCAATTTGATATATTTTCTACTCAATACTATCTGGAATATTTACAGTTAGGTAACAGTCGAATCTTTCTCTCAGTTGTGAAGTTACAGGCACGACGCATTCCCTTCCATTCTTGAAGCGTACAGTTTACTATAAATGTCACTAAACATGCAATAAATATCTTATATCATGAAACCTGTTCTAACAACAAACGTGTGTATTTCTGCACACAGCAGCAAGTCATGCTCAACATTTCTTCCGTTTATATAAATTCACGTCGAATGACCTCTACAGTTCTCCACATACTGTCAGTCCCGACACAAACTCGGCTCCAGTTTGTTCACTACGACCCCTCAGGATGCCATCTTTCTAGAGAACATAACACTCCTCCACATAATTCCCTGGTTGAAGAAAATATGACAGGTTTATAGGAGTATTTAAACATATACCGTTGAATATAATCTGAAGCGAAATCTCTACTCATCTATTACTTTCGAACATGAAACATATGTTCCTAATATTCCTGAAAGTTTCTTCTATTACTTGTGAATGTGTAATGTGAAAATTTCGTTTCTCATGGTCTTGAAAGTTTCTTCTAATTCTTGTGAATGTGTAACGTGAAACATAAGAATCTTGTCTCCGCTTGAAAGTCTCTATTCTCCCATATCTTTTGAATGTATACGTTGAAACGTAAGTTTCTCACGGGCTTGAAACCACAAAGTTGCATCTTGCTCAAGCAATCGACGACGGTTAGATCCCTCAATCTCACCCCAATAGATGCATAAATGCCACATTTAGCCATTTTCCAGCCATACGACTCCGACCTGTAAATAGTATAGCCAGGACCAGACAATCCAGTGATTGACAGTATGAAGATCGATGATTTGCGTTAATCAAGCAGCCCACCCCACACCTTTGCCCATCCAATTCATTTAGTGGCATATAACGAAATTTCTACACACGAAAATGTGAATGTACTGAGAAAATGAAACAATGAAATTATTTCAAAATGAATTTCACTACAGTAGTCAGTAAATAAAACTAATGGCATCAAAGTCAGCTTTGTGTTCATTGTACTGATATGTTCCCAGTACGTCATCGCACGATATCTGGATTTCAGGGAAACTCACCAAACTTACATCCTTGCCAATGGGTTCTTTCAGTCCGTTTTATCGACGGCTTCCAATGTTTCTGTTTCATTTATCCTTACTATTAGTCCGTAGATGTGAAATAGATACAGTGGTTAGATGACTGACTTACAGAGATAACTGTATTCCCCCTGGTCTTCGGGAGTAGTCTCCCTTAACGTAGGTCGTTTAGACCCTGACGGTCGAACTTGTCGAATCTTGTCCACGTTCATCTACCATTTGACCCTGCCTTTCACCCTATTTAACTATTGTCGGTTCTGTCAAATCTGAAATA